ATCCAGAATGGATTCCACCAATATCATGGCCACCTCATGATGAAGGACTGTTAGTTTCGAAGTTCTAATTATAAACGACAATGTTTATATTCGTTTCCCGTTGGATAAGCCCCTCCGCTTGCCAATGAGATCCATCTTTGGACTGTTTGGATTTCATCACTACTCTCAAGGATATTAGAAGACCAATATCTCGTGACAATTTAAAGCAGGATGCCAATTGACCACGTCCTGCAAACTTCCTTCATCCACAGATAATTTACGGGTTGCAAATTAAAACAAGCTTTTCCAAGCCGCATTTTTATGGATGAGTTGGTAGAGTAAAGATAAATTCTTTTCGCTTAACAAATTCAAGAATTGTATTGGTGAATAGATTAGTAATGCTAAGGAATATAAGTGAATTCATTATTCACAGTACACAATGTTCGACGCGAGCAGCAGTGTCAATTCAATAGATTTCCTCGTTTGACACTTATAAAGGATAAAACTATTCATCATTAATACTGACGATTACAAATGCAAATAGATAATCGCCCCAGCTTCAATCAAGTAAAACCTCTACATACGTGAATTGATATATGCTTGGCTTGATTAGGGGTCAATTTGGCCGCTGAGACCATCATAATGTAACTGAATCAGGGCCACACGCCACTCATGAGCTCGCCTCGAATGCCGCTTGAGATGCTGATAAGCCTCTGACGAGATTGAAGCCATCGTCTTCACTTTAAGAGAATGCCTCCTTAAGAGACAATATAAAGTAAGTAGATACGAAGAACAACTGAGTTTCGATTAATCTCTTTGGATAACCTCATTGAAGAGACCTTCATTTTGTATGATAGTTCATAAGGAAGTGATTCGATGGTCGATCTCGCCAGAAGACGGCGGCTGATTCTGGTTGTAGTGCAGCCATTTGGATTTAATATGACGTTCAGGTTGACGTAGTCCACGACACATCCTCCTCGATGGCTGAGCTTGAGTCCACCATAGGTTGGACCTCATCATAGCTGGAACTCATTCTTGTAAAAGTCTTACGTTAACACTCCCCCCTTCCATTGATTTTCTCTCAGGCAGTTGAAATATCAGGTCTACTTTACTCCCGCTGAGGGTGTTGATAAGACCGATGCGAGGTCTAAACTGCAGTCCACCCAGGATGAGAACAACTTTTGGGAAAGCAAGGCTATGTGAAATTTAATGGAAACGTTCAGGATGAGAATAACTTTTGGGAAAGCAAGGCTATGTGAAATTCAATGGAAAAGTCAGCTAAACTCATATAATTGTGGGAAAAATCTACTACCAGTCCTTCATCACCTTAGACGAAATAGGGTGAATACATCTCATTAAAGCCATTTAGTCAATTATCGCTTAACTGCAGATATATAAGAAGCATTTTACTTTAGATTTACACATTACTTTAAGTAATGCACTTCATAGCCTTTGCAGCATTATGAGGGAAGAAGTGAAATAAACTAAGAAACTTAATCCTATCCTGGAATTTGGGGAATATAATCAATTTATTATGAACAAGATAAAACTATTCACAGCATCCACTCGCCTGACTACTAGTTTTGTCTTGCTTCCAAGTTGTTTTCTAAAGTATGTTTGCCCAAGTATCTAATATTCCATTATCGTCTCATATGCTGATGACTGATGACTGACTGATGTCATAAGCGCTCCGATGGGCTTCAAGTCTTCCCAATTGGAGAAAAATGTCTAGTTTCATCCTTCCCAAGTTGCATAGCAAGGCTTTACTTAGAAACGATTTGAAGTGATGGAAGAAATTCACTTATTTTTTAAGCCTTATCGTGCAGAATTTCGTCTACTAAACAGTCTATTCACTCGAAAACGAGATCCGTTGGGCATAAAATACGGAACCAGGGTCATCCGACAACTCACTAGGTACCCTTATAAACCAATAATCATCATTCAAGGAGGCAAGTCTATGGGTTGGGTACTATAGATCATGGCTAATCATTAGTGTTCGGTGAGTGTGGTTAATTTAGTAGCATAAAATGCTTCCAAGTCCTGGAGTGGCTAGAAGACCATATGAGGATTGGTTTTGGTGTGTAAAATATGACAACTGGATAATTGCTATTGCACTAGATAAAGCAGAAGGCGGTGCTTTCATCTCAGAAGTGGGGCTAACCAAAGTCTCTCTTCAAGCAAAAAATTCACCTCTCTATGTTGAGGACACGTGATATTTTCAGCAAAGGCATAATCTCACAGTGTAAAATGATTTCTTGTGATTATGTGAGTTGAGTGAATGCTTCTTAGTCAACGTGATAGTAACGGAAAGATTGCTGTTTCTGATGCATCCAATCAAGCGTTAGTATGTTTCTCACTTAATCATGTAAAATAAAACGTGATAAAGTTAGCGTTCTGGAATTCGTCTTTCCTCCAAGAAATCTTTTAGCGAGCTCACATATCGATATCATTCTGAATCAGAAATTTCCGAAGCATTTCAAGGACTTCCTGTTTTATTTCGATGGGAACGACCTGACGTGCCGATGGTGCAATTGCATTGACTACCTCTTCTACTGTGATATTATCAACTCCTTTGCCTCGAATATAATCCTTGCAAGCTGACTTGACTTTTTCTGTCCAGCCATTTTCTATCAGTCGAGACTCGATATAGTCCTTAAGGCGATTGCGTTCTCCACTTTGGACAAGTAGGTCGTTAATCTTTGCACGAATTTCAGCACGCCTATCTGACATGATTGAGCTCTGTTCAGCAGAAAATGTGAATTTTATTACGGCTAGAGAGCTTCAAATTTGGATCCGGTCGATACATCTCTGTGATCCGACCATCTCCGTCCTTTATGGCCATTCAATGGACTATGACAATTCAAAATGCCTGCCGCCAAGTTATTTGCATATACACTTTTGTTATATTAAAGTCATGACATTAGTTCACTTTGGTTCAGTATTAGGGCATAGTATATATGATTACTCCATCGTCAAACCCTGGAGATGGAGGATTTCCTATTAGAAATCACTTTTGCATAAAATAATAGTGGGCTGCTTAGCTTTCCTTGTGAAAGTAGGATTATATTTTTGATTATATGAGCAAATCTCTGTTACCTAAGAAGGCGGGCAGTTTATTTTAACTTTACTTGAGTCTAAATATTATCGCAGGGGTGATTTCTTTGCTTTCAATGAGAATCTGGGTATTTTCTAGACCCCTAGTTAGATGGAAGACGAAAAGCATCACTTTAAAGTTTACCATTGCATGCCTAAGAACCTATTTTGTAAGAAAACTTTGATCGGATTTGACTCTCATATTTGCAGAATCGAATTAAGAAAGAGATGCGGGCCAATAATTATGTAAGGTTGTTTCATAAATGCAGAATATGATTGCGATTAGGATTTGCCAAAGATTATCGCCAAGTAGAAGGGCTCTATTCTCTTTAACGAGAGGTTGAAGACGAACGTGTTTCCAAGGGATAGCTGGCATTTAGAAATGTAATTTCTGTCTTCATGGGCTTGTCCTAACGCTATCCCCGATTATCGGAAGGTTATAGAATGTTAATGGAATGGTGGGGTGACACATGATATCGGTTACAAAGACACTGGCAACCAACATCGCAGGCCTTGTGTTGTATAAGGAACTAGAGCATGGATCAGGGAATACTTAGCACCACATTATTGGTAGCATTTGCAAGTTATTCTATTATTTAATGATGCATATTTGGGATTTTTCAAAATAAATCAATTGAAAGATCAAGTAAACTGCTTCTGCAAGTGGCGATTTGTAGGAAAATAGTTTGCTATTGGCGGAAAAAGAAAGTACGTGCATAAACCTTGAGAAGTGGCGAAATTCAAGGCCAAAAAATTAAATCACTTGGGCTAAATTTTCGTATTGATGCTAAATGCAGATCAAAAAGAAGTAAAGCAAACTATTCCCAGAACGCCTGCAAACTAGATTAGCTTCAATGCCTACGCAAGATGCAGATAATTGTGGCCAACAATTTCGTTTAGATTTGCCACCCTGGAAGCTTCGCTAGCTATAACAATCACGCGATACTCTCGCGGCATATGTGCGGCCTAGTACTAGACCAGCGAGGGACTTTTAGCCTCAACTGGCTCTTTATTATGGCTTATTCTGAAATATACAAGATACTTCACAAAAAAACACGAAGGCAAGAGAGGTGGCCGGCTTCAAACCCACTTCCTCCTTATATTCCAATTGGGTCCACTTATGCATCTCATGTTTTGGTTGGATGTCATTTGCTTTGCTCATAAGTTAAGTGACTGCGGATGACATGTGAAGTCGCTACAGATGAGGCGTAAAATGGGTGCAATTGAAACCGAGCAGCTGCATCCTCCCTTAGAACAATTTCGCCTCTGATCCTGCAATGTTACCGCATGCGATTGCGTTTCATTTCACACGTTTTGTGTGAGTGCATTGTTCTTGAAATGAGTGTGATGTGAGAGTCAAAACCAGGTTCCAGCTTAATCAAGCCTCTTGCCGTGGTAATTCTCATCACCCCTCCCTCTTGAAACCTATCCAACAGCCGCAAGTAGTTTACGCTTAACTTACTACACTCATCATATCTATTTAGAGCGTCGGCTGTTTTGTTTATTTCTATCGCCTCCCTAATATTTAACTTACTGGTAGTCTCCATATCCAGCCAAGCGTTTGGTATTAGACCAATCTATCTGGTGTCCTGTACAAGCCGCGTTCGGCCCATTCCGATTCTTGGGCCCCTATATCCCTGCAGGCTGTTTTGTGTTCAGACGTATGAATGTACAGATAACTTCCATGTAGATATCGCCACATGAACAAATAATCCCGCATGAGCCCCATCTGGAGAGCGGGTTAGATTATTTTTGAAAAAAGACAACACCGAAGGCAGTGTTATTTTCTCCTTATAACTAGTCTAGATGTATCACCTTAGTAATTCACCTATTAACTTCAAGAGATTACATGAAGGCGGCATAAGGATTCATGTGGCGATCTATCTTTTTATAGCCCCAAATATGTATTTCTCTTCATCCTATTAGACGGCATTCTAAAATACTTATCAACCAGTCCGCATGGATAACTATTCTCAGCCAGAATCCTCCTTAGTCTCTTATTCCGGATCCCGACATTTAACATCTACGAGAAGCAGGCAACTTATTATTATAGACTTCATAACTCCTGCTTTAGCCCCGTAAGTCTGGTCGGAGAAGAAAACCAAAATAAAACCTGCATTTGTGGGTTTCTTATAGACCTATTCCGGTCC